TTTATAAAATTGAAGATTTCATGCATAATTTTTCGATCAAACTTCAACTGTTTGACTTTCAAAACATTAAAGGTGTCGTATAAATTGGATAGAGGGAGTAGTAATAATGAAATACCGAACCTCATATATTAAATTATCAATTAGTTTGATTCTTGAAAAACGGGTTGATTTTTTAAACTTATTTTCTAGTCCCTAATTACTTGTTCATTTTTTTCTTTTTAGTTTTTTCTAATTATTTGTCTATTTTGACGAATTAAGAAATGACAAAACTTTTTTGCCTATTATACCCTCAATTAATTACTTTGAAAAAGGTAGAACTTCTTGAAAATCTTAAGTTTTTAATTCATCCACTTCACAATTAATAGGGATAAAATGATAAAATCACTATATCAATAATTATTCTCGTAATAGGTGTGTCAATTCAAAAGTGGATCAATAATAAGAAATAGAAAACATAGTATTCGGTAAAAAAGAAAAAGAAATTGTTATCTCAAAAATATATATTGTAACCTAACAAAACACTATAGGGGTGAGAAGGAGTGGGATGTGGAGCCTCAGGAGTGGTGGGGGAGGGATAGTTAAGAGGTAGGTCAGGGTGTTGGGTGGGTGGGAAAGATACAATAAGCATAAAGTGTTACTTATAAAACTTATTTTTTCTACTTTAGCTAAGAAAGTCATTTACCTTGTTTCAAAGAAACTTGTTTTCTTATAGAAAATGTTTTTAAAAAATATTGTTCAACGAAACATAGTTACAAACCCAAATAAATAATAAAAGCTAAATGGAAAAATAAGAAACTATTTTCCAAATATAATGATTCCTTCGTTTCAACACACTATTTAATTTTTTATAACGCTCAATCCACGATGGATTGTTCCATGCTTCATTTATGCAATTAAATGAATCAAGATATATAGCTCAAGTTCAAAGACAATGAAAGAGTAAATAAGTGGTAATATGTTTGCCTTACCATCGGGGTTGGAGCTTAATTAGTAGCCCCGCGCAAGTTTAATCGAATTCAGTAGATTTTGTTGAAATAGTAAATTTATGTTAATAAATTCTTTAAATATATATAAATATTAAATTTAGAAATCAGTTATTATCAATTAAAGTTAACAATTCATAAAATTGAAATTTTAATTTCGCCTTCGTGTGTCGCTATAATAATTATATTATAATCAATCTTGAGGATGTTGATCTCTTTATCCTTTAAAGATTTTACTTCATGGACTATCTTAATATATAACTTAGAGCAAAGGTGTAACTTCATTTCTTAATGGGAAAAGGGTCAAATATGCCCCTAAACTATTTGAAAAGGTTTAGATATACCCTCCGTTTAAAATTTGGTCCATTTATATCCTCGCCGTCCAACTTTTGGTCTATATATGCCCTTTTGGGCGTTAGTTGGTCAACTCGGAATATCCAACTCATTTTACTTTTATTTAAATGCCAAATGT